ATATGGCGTGAATTTACTGGGTACAGAGAAATAACACCTGAGTCCTCAGGAATGGCAACGCATGGGGGTTATCATGGGCGAAACAGTATACTCTGTTATGTCCATGGTACTGCTCATGTCTATAGGCGACGGTTACCACTTTCTATCAGGTGGACCGTCAGCTTGTTTGCCATTCTAAGTCGTATAATAAAAAAAAATAGATTTGATTATTGACTCGTTTCAAAGTCGGTTAGCCAAATAAAGAAGTACAAATAATGACAGATGAAAAAAAGCTTTCTACAACAAAATCATACCGTGTCCCGCGGGACGTGGGGACCCCTCTCCCCGCCTTAATAAAGTGAATACACAATAATGCCTGTGCGCGTATGTCGACAATCGCTCCAGCGATTAATTGAAGACGCCTCCCGAGGGAGCTGCCGGCGCTGAGCTCTGGCAGCCCACGTGTTGCTGACTTGTCGATTTGCTACGACTATGTATGACAGGGTTTTATTTGAGTAAACTTAAATTTAAACATTTATTTATTTATTTAAAGGAACACTATCAGCATCGGTTTGAAGGGTGATATGGCGTGAATTTACAGGGTACAGAGGAATAACACCCGAATCCGGGGGGAAAGGATTGCAATTTTTTTTTTTTTCTGAACATAATCTATAATAATTTTATAAATAGGAAAAATAGGCGCGGGTAAAGGCTAGTATATAGCAAGAGAGTTGGGAATTTCTAAAACAAGGATATGAATATTTGTTTTCAATCAATCGATTAATTAGTCGAGAATCGAGCCCGACTGTTCCATCCGGTACATCGCCCGCGCGCGCCACCCTACCGTGCTTTCTCCCGGTATGTTTAGATTTTTACGCAAACACCGCCGCGGCCCATCTTTCTAATTGCCTTAATTAAACGCTAGCAATCAAGATATATACACAAGCTGGGGGCGTCGAACAAAAAGCATTCGGCAATCGAATGTGCTCCCCGTCTCGTTCTCATCTATTCCTGTAATATCTATGGCATAATATGGACTTGATTTGATTTGACTAATAAATAGCTTTGTCCTGTTTGTTTTAGTCTGTGTTGTCAATTTGTAATTGTAAAATCGACTTTCGTTTGAAAAAAACAGTTTAGTGTCTGGTCCGTTCACCTTGGTTGAAATTGCATTCCGAATCACGCTAAATGACTATTCAGAAATGCTTATAATTAAGTTTCAATTTTAAGTTCATACATACTTTGATATTATATGCTTTTTTTTTTTTTTCGTATGGTAATTTAAAGTGATGTAGCTATGACCTGGCCGGTAAAGTGAAATGTAACGTAAAACGGGGTGTATAGAATTCATTGGGCGAATAGAAACGGTTTAAGGAATGTTTTACAAACAGAATTATCAATTTGTGGCAAGAAAAAAAAAACAATCGGATATTTATTTTAAAGACAAAATATATTTTTCGTTGTTCTGTTAAGACCGATTTCTTACTTTTGGAACTTCGCCCCTTAGGTATTTTAAAAATATATTTGAAAGTCTCCAATCATTTCGACTAGGTTTAAGCTCTTCAAAACTTCAACCCCATATTTAATAGACAAATATTTATTTTATTTATTTTTTATTGACCATATTACTAAAAAAATGGTACAATAAATAGTAAAAAAATGGTATAATCTAAAATATGAGCATTTTGATCCCTACATGTTACGAGGTGAGGTTCCGAGTGTAAAAAAAAATACACGAGCTGCGCTAGATTCGGTTTATAACAAACCGAATATAGATAGAGTAAAGGCCGGGATGAGATTAATTCGATTGTTATGTTTGCCCGCGCCGGCCCGCTGTTTACTCGCCCCGCGGCCGCCCGCCCCGCGTGTAATTACCACCCCATTCAGTATTAATTGGTCAAATTTAAATGATGTACAAATAACAGTAAAACTGCTGCGCTGCGGATTTTTTTTTTTTTTCAGTAATAAAATATTCTCTTTATTGAGTCTATTTGTATAATTTTATATATTGTATAAAATAGTAAGTAAAGAGACTTTTTACAAAAGTCGATTGCTTGGGTATCTCTGTCCCATTCGTGTTTCTACTGTGAAGCAGTTGTGTTTGCATAGCTGTGTTTCGGTTTGAAGGGTGGGATATGGCGTGAATTTACTGGGTACAGAGGAATAACATCTGAGTCCTTAGGAATGGCAACGCACGGGGGGTATCATGGGTGAAACAGTAAACTGTTATGTTCATGGTACTGCTCATGTCTATAGGCGACGGTTACCACTTTCCATCAGGTGCGCCGTCAGCTTGTTTGCCTTTCTAAGTTGTATAAAAAAAAGTAATTTAGCTTCTCTGAACAAGGTAGATTGGACATTACATTCTTTTTCAAGTCCTAATGCAATGAAAATGGCAAATGAAAATGGGTAAAAGCTATTCTTGTGTAAATAGAAAATCCTAATGAATATACTGAAATGTTCCAAGTATTTAGATAACTGATTACATATTATCTTGATAGTTTACTTTCGTATTATTAGAATTAAATTCTTTTTTTTTATGGCAGTATAAAATATTAAAATTTTATACTGCCATATCATGCAAATATTAAAATTTAAAAAGAATAAATGTTAAATAAGTCATTAAAATTTGACATGTTATATAAAAAAAAACATCAAAAAATGTCAGACACTTGTCAACAATAAAAAAGAAAGAAATGTCACTGTCAAATCATGGACTATTGACAACAGCTGCATTGTAACACGATAGGTAATTCAAATAGGTTGTTTACCTTTTTGTAACAAAAATTCAAATTAATACATTAATATAATAAATATCACATAAAACAGCATTAAATTTGCACTCCAATAACTGCTCTGCATAAAATTCGATATTATATACATTAAAAGAAAGACGGCTATAAATTTAGAGTACACAAATTGGTAGCCATAATGTAACATTACAAGTATTATATTTAGATTGAATTTGATTAATAAAAATTAGTCCTGGGCTAAGGTCGAAATCTGCGCGGCCGTGAAGGCGCGTGTCGGCACCGTCGCCCTGGGGTTACCCGCTAATTAAAACTGTACTGAATCGAGCTAATTATGTTTACTATCGCCTCCCCTCCCTCCGCCACACCATCCCCTCGCCACTCTCGCACTGTACGCGGATTTATTTCGTAATAAGTAATAACTCGTTTAATTTAATTTAATGTTATGTAAATATGTCCAATAATTAGGTCATGATGTAGATGTATCTTCAAGTTGGGCCTCTTAAAGGGTAGACAGAGGCTTCTTTTTTTTTAAAGGCAAACAAACAGATAGAACAATACATAATTATATATTGAAATAGTAATTTGGTAGCCACTAAAATTTGCACAAATAAAATACAAGTAAAGGAAACACAAAATTAGACAATACTAAATTAAACAAATTTAAACAAGTACTATTGAAAACTGCAGTAACATTGTCAATAATAATGCTCAGAAGTTAATAAAATATTTTTTTCAGAAAAACACATTATTTGAGAATAATATCTGTATAGCCATTAAATAAAAAAAGTAAAATTTGATAATAAATTAGAATAAAAAAAAATTAGAAAAATTAAGACTTCTGACTGTATATTAAAGAAAAATTATATAAAAAAGAATGATGATTCTGAGTGATAAGTTTACATTTTTACATGCTCTCATACGTTTGATCGTAACGTCTAATAAACATATGTATTTTCAACCGACTTCAAAAAGAAAGAGGTTCTCAATTTGGTTTTTTTTTTCTATTTATATTTGTTACCTCATAACTCCGTTAGTTGTAAACCAAATTGATATAATCTTTTTTATCTAAATGCGGATATATATACTTACAGATTGGTCCTATTGAAATATTGTCAAAGTTATTAGTTTAGTTTTGACATCAAAATAACTGGTTTTCTACAATTTTACAGTATGCAAGAGTTTTGATACAATTTCTTTTTATACAACATACAATGGCAAACAAGCTGACGGCCCACCTGATGGAAAGTGGTGACCGTCGTCTATAGACATGAGCAGTGCCATGGACATAGCAGATGATGCTGTTTCGCCCATAATACCCCACATGCGTTGCCATTCCTGAGGACTCAGGTGTTATTCCTCTGTACCCTGTAAATTCACGTCATATCTCACCCATCAAACCGAAACACAGCCATGCAAACACAACTGCTTCATGGTAGAAAAATGTTTACCTACTTGAATTACCTATCGTGTTACAATGCAGCTGTTATCAATAGTCCATGATTTGACAGTGACATTTCTTTCTTTTTTTATTGTTGACAAGTGTTTGACATTTTTGATTTTTTTTTCTTATAACATTAAGAATTTTAATGACTCATTTAATTAACATTTATTCTTTTTAAGTTTTAATATTTGCATGCCTAATTATGGCGAAATATGAGGATTTATACTTATTGTTAACATCTGTACACACTTACCATGTTTCTTGTAAAAAAATAAATAAAAAATAAATTAATTAAAGACGCTTCTTTGTGGAATACTATTTTTGTTTTATAAATGTCATTATGAATTTGTTTGTTTACTTTTGGAATTTTAACGCCTCAATCAATCGATCATGAAATTTGATTTATACGTAGTATTTAGGATGGAGAAGAACTACTTTTTGTTTTATTTTGTTTTTTTTTTTATGGATTAAAATGGATTGGTAACCCCGTCACGCTAACTGTATACACTGGGGGGTACTAGTGAGGGATGACAGGCGGGAATGAAAAGGCGGGTCAGTTAGCCCATCGTAACGAATAGGTCTGTATTCAGCACGATGATTCCTTGCTGTCGACCTAGTTAGGCATATTGCTAGCAATGGGGCCCTTAGTCTCCATTTTTCTTATTGTTATGTATGACATAGGGTATTTCAAACATGAGAAAAATCACTCAATTCTCTCTCGAGATAAATAAGTATAATTGTAAAAGATGTATAATTTATATAATAATATTATATTAGTAATTAATGTTATAATGAATAAACAAAATAAATAAATAATTTCCCCTCAGGACGGAGTTAATACGAACGCCGCCGCTGCCGCCGTCGCCGCCGCCGGCGTCGTCGGCGCCGCCCGCGCCGGTCACGTCGACGTCGAGCAGCAGCGCGCCGGCGGCCGCCAGCCCCGTGCCCGTGCCCGTGCCGCCGCCCACGCCGCCCTCGCAGCAGCCGGACGCGGACACGCCGCTGCCTGCACCACCGCCCAGTATTGTGGAAGTGGTCGTCTGTGCAGCCAATATCGAAGTGAGTATATGCAGACATAAAACTGAAGTAAAGCCCTCAGGAATGGATTATGGAAACATAAGTTTGGACCATGGGTGTCACAGAATATTCTGTGACGTATTTGACGCTGTTCGTGTCTATAGGCGACGGTCACCACTTACTAGTTCGTCACTTTAAGTTTTATAAAAAATAAGTATAATATATTTATTTTATGCAACTTAGAATAGCAAACAAGCTGACGGCCCACCTGATGGAAAGTGGTAACCGTCGCCTATAGACATGAGCTGTACCATGGACATATCAGTACACACACATACTGTTTCGCCCATGATATCCCCCATGCGTTGCCATTCCTGAGGACTCAGGTGTTATTCCTCTGTACCCTGTAAATTCACACCATATTAGTCGTTATTCTCCGACCGCTATTAAGTCCACGCACGTTTTGCGACACGTGTTGCACCTCTAAACCAGGCATCTTCAGGCAGAATAGAGCTAAGAGATTAGTGTTAAAATAATTCTATCTACAGTTGCCGCCACCACTGACCACAGCGTCGACGCTCACGCCAACATCGTGCGTGTCGTCAACGAAGGTGACGTCGTCGATTACGTCACTGCCGACGTCGTGTCCGGGCAGCAAGCCTCCGACCCCACAGCCCGCGCAGCCGCCGACGCCGACGCAGCCGCCGCCAACACCGGAGACTGGTAAGTGATCTATACCAAATAGGTTTGCACATCGATATAAAATAACCCCAAGATGATTAAAAATTGACACGTAAATAAAGCGCGTACAGCCAAATTATGGATGCACTTCTGACCAGCCTGTAATTGTCTGTTGATGACGGTTACCACTTTTAATCAGGTGGATAGTTAGCTTGTTTGCTTTTATAACTTTCACGAAAAAAAAAATCCAAAATCTTTTATTAATTTTGTAAAAATACAGCATATATAATGCTAAAAAGATACGAAATTGCATATTACTGGTATGTTATTGTTTTGTAGCGATATGTTACGATAAAATATTCAATGTTTTAAGATGTATCTTGAGCTTTTTCTATATCAATGGGTTTACTCTATAAGTACATCCCAATTTAATGGGAACAAAGAAGTGCGTACACCAGTTAAGCATAAACCAGTGCGAAAACGAAATAGTGAAGAGACCTATGTCTGGGATGTTGAACGGGTTATTACGATGTTGATAGTCGATTTATTGTAAGGTAGTTATTCGCTCGCTGCTTCGTACACGTGAATTTCAGAATTAGGAAAATTATATTTATAGTATTTAAAATAACGGCCAGAGTTTCGTGCCTCCCATCAAACTGTTTATAATTACTCCTCTCCATGCAAAGGTTGCCTGGAAGAGATCGCTCTTAGCGATAAGGCCGCCCATTGTTTTCTCACTGTGATTATTTCTTGTAATTGTTTGTATCTATAATAAGTTTACTATTGTAATCTTTTGGAGGAAACAATAAAGAGTATCTATCTATTTATCTAATGAAATATGTATATCATATCTAGATTGCGTATCAAAAAAAAACAAATAGCAATTTTTAAATTAGATTTTCAGGAACAGAAAATAAAGACTGCATTCAATTTGGCGCAGTAGTTTTGGTATCGGTGTATATATATATATATATATATATACAGACAAATATTATTTCAGCTTGTATTGGTCTTATTAAGATTCCTTATACACAAGTCGTCCAGTAACAATTTTATTATTCGTAGTAATAAGTAAAAAAAATGGCTGAATCTTAGCCATTTTAAATCATTCAGATATATAATGTATTTGGACGTAATCGACTACTGTGATTAATTGTATAATTATATATATTTTTTTTTATACAACTTAGAATGGCAAACAAGCTGACGGCCCACCTGATGGAAAGTGGTAACCGTCGCCTATAGACATGAGCAGTACCGTGGACATAACAGAGTATACTGTTTCGCCCATGATAGCCCCCATGCGTTGCCATTTCTGAGAACTCAGGTGTTATTCCTCTGTACCCAGTGAATTCACTGCCATATCCCACTATATAACAATAATATATGTAATAATATAACATAAGCAATGGACAGTTAAAGGCTGATACCGAAGTGTGGACAGTCGCATATAGGTATCGCTCAATTTCCAAAAACAATTAAAAATTTTTTTAGGTTTTTTTTTTATTGATTATTTAAGAAGTACTGTGATAACGAATTAAAATATTAGTCATGCAATAATATTCTTATTAAACCGTCATTTTAAATTTGAATTTTAACGGCAAAAATGCATTTGAAAAGTTCCGAAGCAAAATATGAATTAAGTGCAGTTTTTAGTGGTATCTACCGCATATTATACGTATAATATGTATATAACACACGTTGCATATAAATCTTTATATGCATCGTGTGTTTTAATATTAACGTTTTAACTCCACTAGTAGAATACTCGTTTAAAAACTGATAATTAAGAATTCATGTTAATTTTTTTACGTCGTTACAAAGTTATGTCTTACTGAAGGGAATCTGTCAAGATATTAAGTATGATGATTTATTTTTATTGATCTTTAATTTATGTTTTGTTTAATTTAAACGTTAATATATTATTGGCAAATATATTATGAAAGACAAGCGGAGAGAAAAATTATTTAAAAATAAATTAATATAATATTACATTAATTTAATTTTGTGTAATAATATAATATATATATATATATATATATATATATATATATATATATATATATATATATATATATATATATATATATAAATTTATAGTAATTTACATCAAAAGAAATTTTAAAGGAGTGATTACTGTAGTATTAAACTCTCAGTAGCTTTTAGGTACTGAGTTAAAAAAACTTTTATTTTTTTATGTTTTTTCAACTAGTCTCTTTGTTAATTATAAACCTCTTACTATGATTATTTTTTAATCGTTTTATATTGATTTTATTCCTTTTTTTTAAACTAGAAAAATTTACTCGGTTCTGGGTGTTGCATGTTATGTCTTCCAGATATTAAGAGTTTGGTTCGTAGCACAGGGTGTTCTAGTTTCGAGTGTAGAGTATATATTACTAAAAAGACGAATTTAAAACATCATGAATAATTAAACTTTTTATTATAACAACTTTACAATCGAATCAAATAATTATTTAACCTACGGGGAGTAAGCTCGTCTGAGATCACCGAATACTGATATGTTTCACAAATTCACTACGGAACCGCTTAAACATTTGATCTCCGCCGGCACGCGGGAACTCGGCTGCCCGACGCGACCTTGCCGCGACGTCCGTTTGTTTTCCTACTAATTCGTCGCACTCGACGTCGACGGCTCCGGCTGCGCGTCGGTGCTCGCCGGCGCGCTCGGCTCGTCGGCGTGACACCGCTTCCGGTGCTTGTGCACGAAGTAGTACGACGGAAACTTGGAGCCGCACGTCTTGCAAGGGTAGTAGTGGAGCGCGGTCTTCGCGTGGCTCGCCTTGCGGTGGCGGCACGTCCACGCGCGCTCGGCCGCGGTGTCCTGCCACGCGGCGTTGAGGACGCGGCTGAAGCGCACGGGCCCGTCGCACGAGGCCACGTCGAGGACGGTGGTGGTGTGGCGCGGCGGCGGGTCGGGCGCCTCGATGCGCTCGACGTCGAGTTCGCTGGAGGCGGTGGAGGCGACGGAGGCGACGGAGGCGGGCGAGGGCGAGCGTGGCGGCGGCGTGGGCGCGCGGGCGCGGCGCGGCACGGGCCGGTGCGCGCCGGGCGGCGGCGCGGGCCGCGCCACGCTCGGGCCGGGCCCCAGCCACGCGCGGTACAGCGACAGCATCGCGCCGCGCTCTCTCGCCGACTGTGCCGGCCGCGCCGCGCGGCCCGCTTATATACGCGCCGCTCCGGCCCGCGGCCGAATTATAATTTAGATTCTCCTCTCTGGGACCGTGTTTGTTTTCCTAATGTTATGTCAATAATGAGATAGAACGACTCTTGTCCCGGGGAGTGATACCGGTTCGATGTCGATGGAACTCGTTCCGCTAATCGCAGTGAATGATGTTCCTCTTGTTTGCTTGTTTGCGTAATATTTTTATATCGAATGTAAACAGCGACAAGTTGATTAATTAAATTTGTAGGCAAATTGTTTGTTTACTGATCTATTCAATAATTACTTTAAATTAAATACTCAAGCTACGATACCGTGTGTTATGAACAACTAGGCGACAAGCATCAGGGGTTACAATCCAGCACACTCAGAATCACGCCAACTCAGAAAAGTTGGTTCCAAACTTAACCCGATCGGAAATTGAATCCGGGACCTCATTTACGCAAAGCGACGTACTCACCATTGCGCTACGGCGGTCTTCCTATTGCTGTCGTATATCACAACCTACTTTAAAACACGAAAATGTCTTTTTCTTTCACTGTTATACATGTCAGCAGAGAAAAAAATCGAACGTTATGTTTGGAGTAAATAAAATTTTGTCTATCCAAAATTTTCTTATTTTGCCTTTAAATGCTGTTATTTTTTTTTTTTTTTATTATTTTTGTTAACATATTAATATAGTCATAATCAAATTAAATAAAAAATAATTTAATCATATTATAATGTTTTATATGTAAAAATATATATGAACGTAAGTCACGCGAGTGTAGTGCTTTTTACTCATCCCAAAAAGTTCCCAACGTTCTTAAAGAAGTAACTTTAAAAATCTAAGTATTATAGGTAGATAGATACTCTTTATTGTTTACCTCCAAATAGGATTACATTAGTAAACTTAGATACAAACAGTTGAAAATGAGCGGACTGCGAACTGAAAAAAAAAAACAATGGCCTGCCTTATCATTGTAACGTTTCTCCACAAATCCGCTCTTATGAAACGCAATAATTTTCATTGGAGACGTCACTTTTTCTAAGCGTACAATGAATAATATATTGTCCCGTTTCGTTTGCGTAGGACAGTCGCGTTTTAACATCTATAGCGCGGTCCCGTGGGACGACCGCCGGCTACAGAGTTTGATGAGTTTATGCAACATTATGTATAAAAATACTAATATTTAAATTTAAAAATTAAATTAAAATACTTACGCCTGTAATTTCTAAGTTAGTATAGATAGGGATAGTTCAGTTCGACTGTTGTCATTGTTGTACATTTAAATGAGGGAGGAGACTTTGTACAAAAGTCGATTGCTTGGGTACCTCTGTTCCATTCGTGTTTCTACCGTGAAGCAGTTGTGTTTGCATGGCTGTGTTTCGGTTTGAAGCGTGGGATATGGCGTGAATTTACTGGGTACAGAGGAATAACACCTGAGTCCTCAGGAATGGTAATGCATGGGGAGTATCATAGGCGAAACAATATACTCTGTTATGTCCATGGTACTGCTTATGTCTATAGGCGACGAATACCACTTTCCATCAGGTGGGCCGTCAGCTTGTTTGCCATTCTAAGTTGTATAAAAAAAAATGTTCTATCAATTAAATTCCTTGTATCTAATATTCTTTTTTTTTTAACGACCACAGATAAAGGAGAAGCTTTCAATTAGATTGTATTATTTATTTATTTATACATTGATGCACAGTTTAATTGTATGTTCATTTGTCAGTGTTCTTTACCAGTCAACTATTTTTTTTTAATCTATATAATGAACTGAACTTAACAGATTTTATTCCACACTTGATGCCACTTTCTTCCTCTGAAATAGAAAATATGTATTTGTTTTATAATTAAATTTTGTATGAAAATTCA